TCGTGCCGGGACAAGGCATCACAGTATGGTAAGGGACGCACGCTTTTATCATGCTGCATTTTGACTGTGAAAAATGTATTCCAGTAGTTCCAAAGAAAGCACACGTGAGATGCAGTCTGACCTGAGTTTGATGTGGTCGACGGGCAGCAGCAGCTCATTGGCAGTGCCCAGTTTGGTGAGAGCGGAGAACACCTGACCCCTCTCCAGCCAGGCGGTGTCATCTGACCCCTCCACCCCTCTCCACATGACACACAACACCATCTCCAACAGCAGACGCGCCAACTCCTCCTCCGCACGCTGGGCGGCAAGACAGAGGCTTAAATCAATCACTTCAAAAAGACTGACTGCAAATATATAGATATTGGCTCTGGATAATAATAGTATTTTTGAGGAAACTAAATACTATTATAAATATATTAGTAATATATAAACTATAACATATACAAACTATTATATTCAAAACAATGGTATTTTGGTGGAAACTAAATACTATATTATACCTACTTGCATGGGACATAATTATAAATATATTAGTAAAATATAAACTATAATATATATATATATAAAGTATTATATTCAATGCTATACACACTACCTTTCAACAGTTTGGGGATGGAAAGATTTTTTAATGTTTCTTTTTAAATAAGTCTGATATGCTCACCAAGGGCTTTATTGATTTGATCAAAATACAGTAAAAGCAGTAATATTGTGAAATGATTATCAATGTTGAAAGCACTTAATATTTTTGTGGAAACAGTGATACTTTTTTTCAGAATTCTTAGATGAATACAAAGTATTCACAGCATTTATTTGAAACAAATATTTTGTAACATTATAAATGTCTTTACTGTCACTTTTGATCAATTTAATGCTTCCTTGCCAAATATAAATATATTAATGTTAAAGAGTAGTGTAATTATGATTGCTATTGCTTTTGTTTGCTAAAACAATAAGATGTGTTTTTTTACCACAAAAGCTGTGATTTTTTTTATAAAGCTTTTCTAAAATGTTTACAGTAGCAATATGATAACAACAATATTTAATAAAACATGAAGTGAATTAATATTAATAAATCAAAATACACAACTATTCCGGCAAGTAAATTAGTCAATTACCCTGTAGCAACTTTAATTGCCACTTAAAAAGCCACATTAATATTGAATGTGCGGTCACAGATAATAAGCATTTTACAATGCCTTTAAATGTGGCTCATCTATAAATTATATTTTAGAGTCACTTAACACCTTCATTATAGTACTAATTATCAGGTACTTCTTGTTAAGAACATGAAAAATAACAAAATAATTAGTACGAGGAACCACGAGGAACAATCTGATGTGTATTTCAGTGGAACAGGCAGTGACATTTGTGACCCTGGACCACAAAACCAGTCATAAGGGTCAATTTTTTGAAATTGAGATTTATAGACCATCTCAAAGCTGAATAAATAAGCTTTCCATTGATGTATGGTTTGTTAGGATTGGACAATATTTGGCCGAGATACAACTATTTGATAATCTGGAATCTGAGGGTGCAAAAAAATCTAAATATTGAGAAAATCTCCTTTAAAGTTGTCCAAATTAAGTTCTTAGCTATGCATGTTACTAATCAAAAATGAAGTTTTGATATATTTACAGTAGGAAATTTACAAAATATCTTAATGGAACATGATCTTTACTTAATGTCCTAATAATTTTTAGCATTAAAAAAAATCAGTAATTTTGACCCATACAATGTATTTTTGGCTATTGCTACAAATATACCCGTGCTACTTATGACTGGTTTTGTGCTCCAGGGTCACAAATGTCACTGCCTGTTCCACTGAAACACACATCAGATCTTTGGACTCACCTCACTGTTAAAAGACTCTCCCAGGGACACATTGTCACTAAACAGGAAGCTGTCATCATTCAGAGAGGAAGCTCCAGGAAAGGGCTTTGCGTTCTCCAGAGGAGACGGTGTGCTCGGCATGCTGCCCGGAGTCTGACTGCCGCTGTCCCCGTGATTGAACAGATGCAGCTGGGACAGGTCCAAACTCAAGACCCCAGCTTTCACGCCCCAGGCTTTGGGTGTGGGCGCGTCCCCTGGTGTTTCGGAGAGGGACATCAGCTCTCCGTTGTCCAGGCTGTCTATGGACCTGCTGTCTGAGGCGCTGTCTCGCTCCTCAAGCCTCCCCACACTGTCTCCCAGAGGCCTGCGCTCCAGAGGAGGCTCCAGGCGGTTTCCTCCGCTGCTGCGGCTCAGCTCGAAACTCCCCAGGCTGGCCGTGTCACCACGTCCCGAACCAGAACCTCCGTCGCTCCCGGGGCTCCGGACAAACAAACTCATTAGAGTGCCCTGCCAACACGTCTGCCTGGAGATCTGCAGCGCTGCATCCTGCTGAGACTGCAGCAGCGCATACAGCTGCAGGAAATACAGAAGCATATATAGGCTGAAAACATGACAGGACATCATTTTATTTCATTTAGTGCACAGTTAAGGTTTTTATTTTTTTTGTGCAAACACTATTTTATATTAGTTAAAGGGGTCACATGATGCTTTTTTAAAGATCATTATTTTGTGTATTTGGTGTAACAGAAGTTCACCCAAAATTGAAAATTATGTCCCATGTATAAGATATTTTTAAAAAATTATTTACATTTTGGTCTTTTCTTCACACAAAGCAACTCTTTTTGTGCTCCACAGAAAAAAAAAATGCATGTTGCATGTTTTGAGTGACACTTTTCCTTTCTGAGCTATTCCTTAAAACACATTTAACCAAGTTTTTTGTTTTTGTTAGCACTAATAACTGTTGTGTATTAATGTGATAAATGCTCTCACCCTCTTGCATACAGTCAGGCGAATGCTGGGCCCGGCTTTATGGGTCAGCAGAACCACAGCCATCAGATCTTTATAGTTTATAACAGTATCTAGAGGACAAAGAGATTAAAAAAGGAGGGTTTATTATGGAAAAACATTTCACATCACAACGAATGGTGTTTTAATATAAGGGATATGCTTAATTAAAACTAAACAATTTTTGTTACCTGAAATAAAATAAACTTCAACTAAAATAAAATAAAATATAAAAAACATACAATATAAATATTATACTAATGTAATATAAAAACCATATTTATTTAGATTTAGATTCATTTAAATTTCCAAGGCCACATTTTTTTCTTGATGTACTAAAATACCTGAAACAGAAATAAAATTAATGAAAACTACATAAAAAAAGAGAATTAAAAAAATACACAAACTATATAGAAATAAAAACCAATTCAAAATATTAATAAAAACTATATTTCATAAAAACTAGTATCTTAATGATACTGAAATTACACTCAGATTACATAAAGAGAGCAAGAGAGAAATAATAGCAATGATTACAATT